TGATAACAGTTTATTGGCAAGTTTGAAGATGCAGTGAGATCTGAAAATTCAAATAATTATTGAGCTTTCAGGGACAGATTTCTGGAGACTTAAACCATTTGCACCTAGAGGGGTGGGAAAGGTATTAATGGGTCTTTGCCTTTATCAAGGAGGTTTTGCCTTAATTAAAGCTGTGAGGAACTAAAAATATAGGCTTTCTAAGATACACACTTAAGACATTGTGAAAGGCTTTAATGAATATACTTTTTAAATGTATACGTGTTTGGAATTTGCTATGATGCAGAATAAAGGGTTCTGTTAGAAAAGCAGAGAGGATAGAACAGAAGGTTAAAGGGTATTTTGGAAACAAACAGCTGGACCAGCTTATTTAAACAGAATCAAGGATTGGGAGCTGACCTCCATTTGACTTCTAGGGGGAGGAGCAAGAATGTCATTTTATTACTTTGGCTAGAAGGAAAATGTTCTTTCTTCTGAAAGCACCCTAACATTTGGGCTGTTTTTCAGAATAGTTATTAAACACAAAATACATAGGGGAAAGTCAACTGTCAAGCCTTTGTGGAAAATGTTATTTAAAGAACCAAAGGCCATGGCATGTATGTTTCAGCTTGTATCTTATCCAGGATCACAGAGAGGAAATGTTAAATTAAAAAAAGGTATTAAAATGACATTTTGTTACTTGAAGTCTTCAACCTGAAATTTCCCCCTCCCCTCACTACCCCAGGGGACAACCTTGTTGCTGATAGCTTTAACATACAGTACAATAAAATAAATCTTCATTTAAAAAAAAGAGCTGAGAAGCATTTATTTTAAGTCTTCTAAATTTTCTTAAGAAAGCATTTTAGTCTGTGCTGGCTCCATAAATGCTTCTCATTGAGAATAGATAAATATTCATAGTTTTGGATGAGTATCCAAAACTTTTTAATTATTTGTACCATCATTAGTTTTACTGTTACCATTCTATTATTTATAAGTGTTGTAACATTGTATAAGCTTATAGTTCCCTCTGTATATTACTTCGCTATTGTCACAGAACACAGATGATAGGATCTTTTCTTCTTGAAAAGATGATCTTGTAGATTGCTTCCAATAGAAGATTGTATGGAGAACAAACTTAAATCTATTTATGATACAGTATTTCCCACTTGTATATTTTTAGGAGAATTACTGTATTCCAAATGGATTCTAAACAATATTGGCTTGTAGATGTTGTTGGTCTGGAGGCAAAATACTTTCAGGTAACCTTAAACTGATAAATAGTACCCCATAAGCCTGAGGCTCACAAGCATGTGCAACTTATCTCCAGCCAGAGATCTTATTGATCTAGGATTCCTTAAAAACAGAGTCCCAACTGCCACAAATGGGAAGCCTTTCTCAGCAGAGAAAACCCAGCCTTCTCTGATAATGCAAGGTATATCAAATCAGTCCCTGCTCTAATGGGGAATTTGGCTGTTAAAGCAAATAGGCATACCACCCTATCAGTATACCTAACCTTAACATAAATGTGGGAGTCTATCTAATCTCCTGCTTTGTAGCCACAATTATTGTGACAGTTTGCTTTTGTACTACACACACACACACACACACACACACAAAACCACACACACGCACACACACACACACCATGGCTGCTAATCAGATTTAGGTAAGTGCTGCCTTTAAAGAGGTAAAGCAAGTTTTTTACTGTATCCCTGTCCCTGAGGTACAGTTAAAAGATGTTTCCACAAGCAAGCCTATGGGGGAAAATGCAAACTTATTGAAACTGGTGAAACAGGAGAGGTTCATTTAGACCCTGTAGTGAAGTACCAGGCTAGAAACCAGGAGATTGTGAGTTCATCTTGCCTTAACCATGAAAGCTGTCTGGATGACCTTGGGTCAGTCACTCTCTCAGCCCAACTGACTGGGTTGTTGTTGCAGCAAATTGGAGGAAGAAGGAGTATTAGGTACCTTCGCAGCCTTGAGTTATCTTTAAAAAAAAACCTTCTAAAATCTAAAAGTCTAAATACTATGAGTCAGTATCTAACACAGAGGTCACCAACCTTTTGGACCTCAGGGACCACCAAACTCATAATTTTAAATCCCGGGACCACTAATATGAATTTTGACTGACAGTGGCTTGCTGTCATTGGTGGGAGAGAGAGAGAGAAAGAGATCTGATATAACTTCTCTCTCCCTCTCCCTCCCTCCCCACATCTCTCTCTCACACACACATAAACACACAGAGGTAGGGATGGGATTCAAATTTCTTAACTGGTTCTGTGGGCGTGGCCTAATTTGTGGGTGTGGTTTGGTGGTCATCTGACTGACTGGGCATGGCTTGTATGTAAAAATTATAAATATTTATGTAAATATAGATTTTTTTTATTGAAAAAGAGCAACTTTTACCCAAAATCAGGCAAGGCAGGCAGGCAGATTGAGTTGCTCACAGAAACACAGATTCATTCAGAGATCTATCTATCTGCCATTGGCTAGCTCAGTCTGCACTGACAAATAGAAGCTTCAATCCTAAGGAAGGTTTAAGCAGAGCCGAAGATCTAAAGATTAGCTAAATCTCCTGGCACAGCAGAACAGCTGATGGTAGGGGAAAAGAAAAAAAGAAAAATAGCAACTTAGTAGGCAAGTTTGCCAGGTAAGGAGTGAGTGGGCGGGGAGGGTTCCTGCAGGCCATGTGGGCGGTGCAGCCTTGTGTTCCTGCGCAGCCTGGATTAATTGCTTTGGGGGGGGTACTCTGGGGGTAAGATTTCTCTGCAGACCACCAAAATTTTCTTGTGGACCACCAGTGCGCTCACCGGTTGGTGACCACTGATCTAACATGTTTAAAGAACACCAGTTTGGAGAATGCTATTTTACAGATTTCTGTCTGAGGGCATCAGCTAAGTCTACCAACTAAGCTACTTGACTCAGTGAGGCCCTCAGAAAGCTGATAAGCATAGATAAACATACATTTCCCTTAATAGTGCATCTGATGTTTTTTATGCCTGGAAATTAAAATTGCCTTCTATAGGTAAGAGCATCTATAGTGGAAAAATCAATTGTATGAAAGTACCTCATGATAAATGAAAAAAAACATGTAATTTCTCTTTGAAAATTTGCATGGAAATCATTTTCTGACAGTTTTCAAATTAGGGATAATATATGATAACTCATTGAAGAGAAAAATAATTTTAATTGTTTATTTCATGGTTTTTCTAACGAGAGAAGAAATAGGGGAACCTTTTGATGACCAGTTTGATATTTGTGCTTAATACAAATAGCTATCCAATGATTTGACCTAAGAGTTTACATTTTCGCTTTTATCTAAAAAGAAATGGAGAACTAGTGGAAGTTCATAGCAGAGTTTTATAGGTGTAACCTTTATGACTGGGGTAGCAGCATGAGCTATCATATTTGCAAACATAGCGGGAACAAATTAGACAAATGGAAGGCGGAAATATTACTGAGATAAATAATTAATAATAAATAAATAAAGCCTAATTAAAAATTCATTCTAAATTTCAGTGAAACAGTGAAGATAGGACAGTTTGGTACCATAAAAACAGCATTCTTAAAAAGTATTGTGGATGGAATTGATGTTCAAAATTCTAGCCTGTTCAGTATTGTGTGGGAGGAAGCGGAAACTTAAAATTCAAGTCTCGGTGTTGTTGTTTTCCTCCCCCTCTGTTTAAAGCTAGATGGCAATGGCTGGTTTGTGGATTGGGAATATCAAGCAGGAATGTTATTTAAAATCAGGTCACAGTAGTGGGGATAAAAGGCCTAAACAAAGTTCAGTGCCTTTAAATAGACATGAAATAGCCAACAACAAAAGCTGAAACTTTGTGATTTTTTTATTTCCATTCTTACATTTTATTTTTCATTCCTGGAGAGAGTGTCATATTTCAACCAGGCAACAAAGGAAGATCTAATATAAGATTTAAGATAAGACTCCCCAGAAAACTTTTCTGCTGTGTTAATATTCAGTGATATTTGTATGAAAATGAAGAAAATAAAGTATGAAATATTAGCATCATGTGCATTATTAAGACTGCAATAGTTATTTGCATTTCTATAAATAAAGTCATTAAATATAGAGGAAATTACTTCTCAATAGATATGTATAATACACGGTTAAGTTCAGTTAGCTCTAATTAACTACTTTTACTTTGTACTGTAATAATCTCTTCTTTTTTTCATAATAGTTCCAGAATGAATGAAGGTTAGGGTTCATTAGAGTATAAGTTCAAATAACAAATTTTAAATATGCTTTATCTGAACCGAGTCACTTGTTGCCTCAACCCAGTCTAGTTCTGTGATACACTAATTAAAGTTTAATAAATTGTTTTAAATGTTCAAACTTAGCTGGAGAAAAAAAGTTCCATCACTGTATAGCTATGATATACTCTATGGGTAAGATGCAGGAAAAAAATAAAAAAATAAAATACTGTATAGAAGAAATGGTTTATTATGTTGTCCAAAGCAGTGTGACCTGCGGGAGATAAAACTCCAGACATGGTCTTATTTGATGGTGAACTACCATTACAGTTCATTATAATAAAACCATCACAACAAAATTATGATTGGGAGAAGCAAGGAAGGTTTTGATAAAATAATGAGAGGAATAAAAGAGAATTTACTAGAAAAATATTGTTAATTATGTTAAGTGTGAGTGGGAAAGGGAATGAATGCTTTTATGGATTGGCATCTTTTTCTCACTCAGTTCCCCCTCCCACAGCATAATCTGAATTGAAAAGAATTAAACTGATCTTGTTTCCTGAAAATTCTGCTAACTCCCCCATGAAAAGATGAAATAAAAGTGTCCAACTGTGGCAATGGGAGGCCAACATAAATCACCTCACAATCCAAACTTGAATTTTCAGAGGTCATCAGAGGGGTTATGAGTTTTGCAGCATTTGAATGTACACTAAAATTAACTCCCAGGGGACATATACCAACCATCTTCCAAGTGCTGAGTTCAAGCATGGGGGACTTTAAAAAAAATAACAGTTCACTCTCTTTTCTTGTTCCAGGTTTATTAATGCTAGAAGAAGGATAGTTCAGCCCATGATAGACCAGTCCAACCGAGCAGGCAAGTTTTCAGTATTAACTGTACCCCTGTCTTGCTGACAGAAAACATTCACAAGCCATTCACCAGGAGACCTCTTCTTGGTAAATAATTGGGAAATAATGCACACTTTAAAACAAAGTGTGCCATAATTTATTTCAAAGTTAGTGGATTTGGTACAATGGAGCATATTTTGGAGGTAAACTTGCCAGCCATAAACTACATGGTTGCTTACTGAATCTTAATACCACACATATATTTCTGCTATTATGACACTCCCTGGTGTATGGCTAGATGTGGAATTTCTGTAAACTTTATTACCTGTCCAAAGGGCTAAAGGGTCACCGAGCTTGTGGAATTCAGTAAAGTTCAAAGACATTCAGTTAAGGTAGAACTACATATGCTTTAATAAATAAAGGCAACTTATCTAGCTTTTAATGTTCTGTTAGAATGTTAAAATTCACGTGCTGATTTTTTTAAGTGGCTGAAGATTTTTGCATCTATATCTTCCATTTATCCTTCACCTTTGGGTATCTGTATTTTGATATGTATGAATCTTATAATCATCACACTGACTTCTGTCAAGATTCAAAATAGCAAGGCTTTAATTCTTTCTGGATATTCTACATGTTTATTTTTCCATGTTATTGCCAAATATAAGAATGTATCTTCCAGGCATTATTTGTATGGTGATTATTTTCAGGGAATAATACCAGCCAAGATTATTTACTCTTAAAGATTATTTAAACATTGGTTAAGTATCTGTACATTTTCCTGGTCAATCTACAAGACACATAAAATAACCTGTAGTGACCAAAGCAAAGCCTTCAGAGGAGCAATGGAGCTAGTGGTGCCATGCCATGGTCTCTACATGCATTTCAAAGTTTGATTATTTGAAATATAAACATCTACGTAGAGTGGGTTCATATTATTCACCCCGGAATTCTTCAGTATCTGTGAACTTGATGAAAACATTCCTAAAATCTTTTCATACGCTTTGGAATTGGGATAAATTTCTCGTTCCATTTTCCAAGGAGCCTAGCCTAATAGATACGTGAAGGAAATGAAAAAGGGACTGCTTCTTCTTCTGGTATTTCTTGTTGAGAGGATGGTCCATAGAGAAAGCCGTTGCCAATCTCAATAAGAAAAACCACAGGTTGCTTATTGCAACTCTGCTTCTGCTTAAAACAGTTTTAACAGTTTTCCCCAACAGCAGCTCTGGAATTTTTATTTATTGTCTAATATTCTTCCAAAATGTGAGCCGCTTTCCCCAGCCATCTCCATTTATGGCAGAGAGATAGTTCCAAGCAATAAATATCTTTATTGAAATGGGGAAAGGGATAATTTTTGACCCAGCCAAGTATTACCAATCTTTTTTTTTAAATTGAGATTTGTATATATGTATTTGAGCAGAACATGGCTCTTATGTGTGCATGTATTCTTATGCACATCTGTAAAGAATGCAATTTCTATTGTCTGAAAAAAAAGAACACATTAATGAGAAATGTGTTTCTACACAGGACTAACTGCTACACATATCAGGTTTAGGAATAATTGAAAACCTTGAATAGATTCTGATAAATATTAATTCATTCTTTCCAACTTGGTGCCTTATAGTTTTTTTGGGCTGTTGGTTTGAGCTCACATATATATTATATATTATAGGGTTTTTTTATTTGCAAATTCCACTCTCCTAACTGCAAGCCATTATTTTTAGGACTGATAAGAATTACAGATCAAAATACCTGAATAGATTCAGATTGAGAAAAGGTGTAAAAGAACACTAGTTTGCAGTTGCATTATTATTGTACATGCATAGAAAATTAATTTTGAAGACAACCAATCCAGCTTTGTAAGGCTTGTTTCAGAAGACATAGTCATAATATAGTGTGTTTGCATTTTTGGCTTAGTCTGATGTACAAATGTATCCAAATGTAAACCATGGCTTGTATTTTCTTTGGGAGGATTCATGCATCATACTAAGCTGAAACCAAAATGTGAGTTATCTGTGAATATTTAAAACTATCCATAATAAAATTCATAGATGGTGTCTGGGCAGACAGGTGTAGACACGGAGTGCTTGGCTTGTAATCTGGCTGCAGCAAATAATTAATTTCATGTGGAGAAATTTTTAATGTATGCACATGGGCTGGGAAAGTAAGAGGCAGCTGTTAGATACCCTTATGTAGACTCATATTTCCCTTTATTGATTCAGATGAGGTGGTAGAGGACTAAAGAAGCTAGTAATCTTTTTTCTGTAAGTTGTGAGAAAGGTATTTAAAAATAACTGTTTCTCAATTAAAACAGCTGACACAATAGCAATAACTTTAACCTCCAATGTGTCTGGAAATGAACTGATCAGTTCCTTCCAAGACAACTGATCATTTTGCTGATAAAGAGATACTAAGCAATTTCCTGCACCTTTTTAGTAAGCCAAGGAACACCTTATAACCCAGATGGACAAC